AAAGCTGCTGAATGAATGCACCATGACAAAGTCTTCATTCTCTAGCAGCACATAGAAAGAATGGCCTTGCTGATTCTGGCCCTGGGTTGAAGCACTAGCTCTGATCTCTCTACCCCTTACAAGTAATATGACGTAAGGAAGTGACAAACTTCTGGTCCCCCATTTCTTCATCTGTAAGATATTTAAAGTGTCTCTGGATCTTATCAGAAAGTCCAATCCCTCGTATATGATTAAAATAGATTTTACATCATCCTTTGATATTCAACCTAATTATTATATCAGTTGTTCACATGTTTTTTTCCTTAGAGATATTTGATTCTACGTAATGTTTTCAAATTAATTTTTTAATATTACATCACTATATGAGATTTACTATATCAAGGTTTCCTTTTGCTCTATATGTATCTTTTCTAACTTATTTTTCAAGTGTTTACACTGATTTATTTTTATTAGTACATTCCTCTTAAGGTTTTTCTTCCAAAGAAAATTCCGATTTGGACCACTGAAACCTAATGATCATTTACAATGTCTTAAAATATTTTGGCTAGGCACGGTGGTTCATGCCTGTAATCCGGGCACTTTGGGAGGCCGAGGTGGGCAGATCACCTGATATCAGGAGTTCAAGAACAGCCTGGCCAACATGACGAAACCCCATCTCTACTAAAAATACCAAAATTAACTGGGCATGGTAGCAGGTGCCTGTAATCCCAGCTATTTGGGAGGCTGAGAAAGAATTGCTTGAACCTGGGGGGCAGAGGTTGCGGTGAGCTGAGATCACAGCACTGCACTCCAGCCTGGGCGACAGAGCAAGACTCTGTCTCAAATATGTATATATATAATATTTTGGATATAGTTTTATTTTAAAATTGAAAAATAGTTTGTGATATCTTAGAGAGAATTAAATACTAAAGATATGTTTTATTTACTTTTTCTGTTAGAAAAATGCAATAACACTGGAGACAAAAATCAAATTTCATATTATTATCTTCTCCAGAAAGTAAGAATGTATTTATACTTTCACTGTTTATATTAAAAAGCAAATAAGATCCGCCATGACCGGTAAGATGAGAATTTTTAAAGAAATTTACAGCGAAGTTTTTCTAGGTTAGCAGTAATTGCTAATCATTGAGTTGAAAGAGTAAAAGAGACTGATCAGTTTTCCATCAAGCGAGACCAGGGGCATTTCTCACAAATAAGGCATGGTTTTGGCAGACGTCACCGACCATTCACACAGGAGGGACATCTTAAACTAAATAGGCCTGTTTGATCTTCTACTTGGTGACTCATCTCATAGCCACTGATTGCTGTGAAGACTAGCAGTAAACATTTAACTCTTAGAAAATCTTGAATTAAATAAAGCGAGAGTGCCATGTAAAAGATATTGTATTATTCATATTAAAAAAATTAAAGTGAACATTGCACGGAAACTTGGGAAGTCTTTGAGAGAAAAGAATAGAGGAAGATGTATCTTCCTAAAGTTTTAATGTTGGACAGAAAATGGCATTTTGTTAATATCTTACATTTATGTCCCTTGTGGAACAGCTTTCCCTGGGTATATTCTTGACTGCCCCACATTCGCAAACAAACCAATCTTAACCAGGTTTCAAACCAATCTTAACCCGGTTGAAATACCATCCATTCCCTGGGGCTTACTTTATTCCCTTCTTTCCCTGGATGGAATTAATCCCTCTATCCTATAAAGGGCCAAAATACTTTTGCAAGAAGCTCCACCACACAGGCTGTGTGACCTTGGGTGAAATACTTAACTTCTCTGAACTTTAACTGTAAAATAGAGTTTCAAGTTTCCTATTTTTAAAAGGAGGGTAATAATAGTACCTTCTTTATAGACTTATTATAGTGATTAAATGAGGTCATATTTACAGCAGATGTTCCATATTTCCTGCTTGGAAGACAGCCTGTCTATTGTGAGTGCTGGATAAGTGTTTGTTAAGTAATGAAATAAAGTACATCTCAAATGTGACTCACTGTCTTTATCCTCTCTTGTAGCCTGGAAGCTTTTCCCAGTTAAAGACAATATCTTCAAACCCCCGTATTTGGTAAGCTTTTCCTGGTTTTGGTAGCAGTTATAAATATCTGCTCATTAAAAAAAAAGTGAACTCCAGGTTTTGCTACCAATTAGTCATTTTAAAAGATTGGCCTGAAAGAACCAACACTGAAGATATTCCTATTTTTTCATACTTTCTTAGGCTATCATTAGGCCTCAATTACATCATCAGTGCTTATGACACACCATAGGCACTTAATAAACAGGTGCCAAGTGAATAAGATCTAGTGAGCAAATAACTCTTCATCTCAAATTACTAAAATGACTAATATTTTACAGGGAATAATTCTGTTCCTACATTATCGCATTTACTAAAAATGTGTGTCAAGGAGACGTTATATACAATTTGAATAAAAGTTTTTAAATGTCTCTGGAAAGCATGTTTACCATAAGGCCCTACATTAATGTATGTACCAGTTAATCAACAAGTGTCAATTAAACCTCTAGTAGTGCTCCTCCCTGTGCTAATGGCAGAGTGTATTTCAAAAGAAGTATAAGATACATCCTCAGTGGATTTACAGACTAGATGAAACAAGATATAGCTAACACTGTGGTTCCAAACCATTTGATCAGCACTCTGAGTAAAGTAACTTGAGAGAGGTCAGAGCACCAGGAACTGGACTAGAGGCTGATGGATGGGAAGAATTCACATGGATGACACATGAGAAGAGAAGGCAGGGACACATTCATCCTGATACCTCACTGCTCATACTGCTTTGCTTATACTCATCACACTAAGCTGAACTGGACTCCTCTGACTGCAAAACCATAGCCAAGAAGCCAAACCTGCAATGTCCGGTGGCAGCAGGGGAGTCTCAGGAGACAAGATCAATTAGAACAGGGCTTCTTAAGGGAAAGTGGTCCCCACACTGGTAATTCAGCTCGCATGCCCACAGACTGACTGGGCCAGCTTGCCTTCCATTGTCTGCCAACCCTCGCCTGGCTCTCCTGACTGCACCCTGACCTATTCCCAATCCTTTGGTCTTTTTTTGGATAGATTACTATGGATTTCTGTTGCTCCATTTGACTTAAACATTAGTTTCCAAATAAAATATAAGCCAATTCTCTGCACATTTTGAAGTGGCTCACTCAAGGCTGCAATGTTTAAAAATTGATATTTCTCAGAGGGTTTTGTGTATTTCCCCCCTGCTACTTCAGAAATAATTAGGTGAGTTTATTAAACAGGTCTAAAAGAAGGTACCTTTCTTTTAGGCATTTTTTTCCCCTCTCATTCCCCAAACATTTCATTACTATTTTATCCCTTCTGAGCCTAGCCAGAAACTTGGCCTCCTTTGACTCCCAAACATACTAAGTTATTAAAAATACCTTTCAGCCAATATTAAGGAAGGGTCAGTGAAATGAACTCAACATGGGGCTTAAGCAGAGCACAATGATTTCTTTGACTTAGTGTAGGAAATGAATGACGATGATTTTGGACGGCCAGTTTCTTTCACTAATCTGTTGCTGAACTCTATCAGACATGAATGTTTCTTCTTGTCAGATTTCCTAATATTTCTCCATTGTGCTGTCACCAAGACATGAGAGTTAGCTGGCATGACAAGAGCTTATCTCACTCAAAAAAAGTCAACATTCCACAGAAAGTTATGGGACCTTCAGTTAGTATTAAGAGGAAAGTGAAGTTAGAAGCTTAACACTCACAAGGTTTATACAGGAAAAGAAAGGCATACACACTATTTTCAGGCTGCTGCTAATTGAGTCTTATTTGGATTGGAGCCTTCTGAAAGGAATCAACACATCAGGAATGGGTAAGCTAACAGGGGGGAGACAGCTGCTGAATATAATTCTGGAGACAGCAGCCCTGCTGCTTAGATCTTGGATAACACAGAGGTTCAGTATGTAATTGACTATGGAACAAGAAGAACATTGTTTTGTAAAAGAAGGTACCTTTGCTGGGGTCCACAGAAACAGTTATGGTTCTTACCTCTAAGAGAGAACTGTGTTCAACTGTGACTTTTAGATTTACCTTGCCAAATCTGTATTTGTCTCAAAAGTCAACCACACTCTAGAGTAAAGCAAAATTCATCAGTAAGGCTAAAATTTTGCAGAGAGAAATAAGAAAGGTGTGTAATATTTAAATAAGAACTCAGCATCCCAACAAAGATCTTCTTAATCAGAACAAAAGAGAATAAATCATTAAATACAGTAATCCACTGAGATTCACCTGAAGGTATGGCACACCACTTTCATAAATCCCAAATTTATGATACCACTATAATATACTATTACTACACAAGAAGTAGATGTGAATAACTCACAAAGATTACTGTGTATGACACAGAAAATGAAAGAGAAGAAAAGCTGCATGGACAGCAGCTGCTCTGACTGCATGTGCAGTGGCTCATTCACCAACACACAATTCAAATTCAAGCCTCAGCAAAATAACTTGTCATAAGCCATGATCCCCTATAAGGTCATCTTCAAATAGACAAAATAGTGACATTTAATTCATAACGACAAGGTTCTACTCTCTTGCTGAGCAAGTAATCCAATCAACTGTGGTGTAGTTTCATCAACTTTGGAGAAAAGGCAATTTTCTTTCAAGATTTGACACCCTTCATACCCTCTGCCTATAATTCCAGATGGTAGGTGTAGGTGGTAGAAATGTTAGGTTGAGCAGAATGATAGTACCTAAAGAGGAATGAATAGTACCAGGAAATGCGTGACTCATGGCATTCTAATTTTCTTGAAGTTCTTTTGTACATTTGCATCAAGATTTTCCACAAAATTCAATCCTGACTTTAATTGTAACTTTAAGAGTCCTTTATTGAATTGTGCTATTATTGCACAGCACTTACACCACATGAGGTATAAAAGAAGCACATAATGTCATTGAGAGGCCAGAAAAAAACAAATGTGCAGAGAACAATATACCTATGGCTGTCAGCCTGTAACATAGGTAATCTGAATCTTTAGTCCTAACTTGGTTCTAAATCCCACAGTGCCTTCTCTGTTTTTCCCAAGGAGAAGGCACCGTGGGATTTAGAACCAAGCTAGGGTTACAGACATATGTTATAGGCTGACTATGAAAGTTCTACCAAAGTTTCTACTTTGAAGAATGACCAAAAAGAGGCTGGGCACGGTGGCTCACACCTGTAATGTCAGCACTTTGGGAGGCCGAGGTGGGCAGATCACCTGAGATCAGGAGTTCAAGACCAGCCTGGCCAATATGGTGAAACCCCATCTCTACTAAAATTAAAAAATTAGCCAGGCATGGTGGGGAATGCCTGTAATCCCAGCTATTCGGGAGGCTGAGGAAAGAGAATCTCTTGAACCCAGGAGGCGGAGGTTGCAGTGAGTCGAGATCGTACCGCTGCACTCCAGCCTGGGTAATAGAGTGAGACTCCATCTCAAAAAATATACTTAAAAATAAATAAAATTTAAAAGAATGGGCAAAAAGAGATACTGGCTAAAGTCCTAAGCAGTAAATTCAGCAAAGGCAAAAAGACAGGTAAGTGTGTGGGGCTTTAAGGAACCATTAACTGAACCATCTTATTGGAGCAAAGGGCTCATTTAAAGGCATGAGTGAAAGTGACAGATGGAGTAATGGTCATATTCCTTTCATTATCACACTTTACACAACAAACCTTTGTGCTCCATTGCACTTAAATACCAAGAAAACACTCACCAAAGGACAATATTAACACATTTATGTCAACCATATGATCTCTGCATACAGATCATAGCAATCAAGCTTCCAACCTTTTGTTGCATGCCTACTATGTGCCAGGAATTGTCCTAGCACTTCCCTTCCAATTCCCCATCCTATTTAATCGCTTCACATTCTACCACTCACAAACTGTAGATTTATTTTACTCTCAGTCCCACATAAAATACTCCAACTTAACTATTTTTAATTCTACCTGCATGATATTCTTTCATCCATCTAATGTTTCCACCTTAGATCAGAACCATTTCACATTTCAATTCCTACATTACCCCCTAGACTCCAGGCTTATAGTTTTATAAAATAAGATTGTAAAATAAAAATCCATCTTCTCCCTCCCTCCAGTAAAGGAGAGAAGTAAGTGTGTAACAGCTAATATCTACAACGGTTTTACTACGCTGAGTGCTTTTTAGGTAAAGCTGTTTCATTTAATGGCCCAGCAACACTGTTGAAAAAGGAAGAACCTGGAGTATGGAGAGACTGAACAACTCCCACCAGGTTCATGTAATCAGTAACTGGTGGAGCTAGAATTTTTAATCAGGTCCAACTCAGAACCTAAATCTTTTAAGAGCACAAGCTTAGTCATAATATTTAATTCAGTGCCTTTTCTTTACCTATAAAATAAACCATTTTTTGTAGTACTGGCAATGTAACTCTTGAATTAGATTGTGTGGGTTCAGATTTCAAATGTGTCATTTGCCAGCTGTGCAAACTTGGACATAATAATTAATATCCCTAATCATGAATTTATCATCTATAAAATGGATAATATTAGTTTCTTTATATACCATTGTTATAAGGTTAGGAGATAATGCATGTAAAACATATACAGGGCCTAACATAGTAAGTGCTTAATAAGAACTGATGAAGGAATAATGGTTAGGTACGTAAATGAATGAGCGAATGAATTTCCTTTACATACATCTCTTTATATAGACATATCACTCATAGTAACAAGTATAGGTAAGGACATCTACTCTATCCCTCATTGTTAGGGTTAAAAGCTGCTTGCATTGTGTTTTAGGAGAAGCTTTTTAAGATATCAAGGTTAAAAAAGAAACATACGGCAAAGATGCCATCTTCAAACCTACATAGTAATGCAGTATGTGTATCTTGATCAATGAATAATTAGATTGTACAACAAAAGTTCTACCATTCCTGTTGCTCATACATAGAAATGCACATGGGTCACCTACATGCTTCCTGACTTGCTTTTGCTTTCTCCCCAGGTATTACCCAAACCTAAAAGTATGATTTTTTACAAGTTAATAATTTTCTTTTAAGAGTTGTTGTCAAAGTTTCCCCTCAATCCTAATTTAAGGTAACTATAAAATTATAATATGAAAATCTAAGAATTCACATGTTTTAAAAGGAAAAAAGATAAATCAGTAGCAAAGAGCTAGTAACAGATGGCGACTTAGCAGTTAAAGCAGCATTTTTATTATATTTCAGATAGTAAAGTTTTTCTATGACTCTACTGTTTAAATGAACACCCACAGGTTCACCATTTAGAAGTGGCATGTCCCCTAACTTTGGAGAACAAGTTGATTCCCAGAGTTCAATACCCTCAAGGTCATTTACTTTCTCTAAATGTCTACCCTCCTCACAACATGCACTTGTTCCCCCTATTACAAATCAACCAATCTTACAGCTTGCAGAACAGAAGTCAAGAATTCACTGAATCTTAAAATAATACTATAATATCATTGCCAGGGAAGATGAACTGTTGCTTTTCTTCGCTTTCGGAGTCGATGCTTTGTATTTATTGTTTCCTTGTTTGACCAGTCCTAGAATCGAAGGTTAACACAGAGGAATATCCTCCTAAAAGGAATGAAATAACCCCTTCATTGCTCACTCTGTTATATTTATCCAAGTTAAGAGATCTTAAACAAGGAGGGAAAGAATAAAGGTAAAGCTAAAAAGCAGACTAAAGAAAACATGGAAAAGCAGAGGCGGCAATGTAACTAAGTTTAATTTCAGAGCAAATGAAAACAAAAATACAACATAAACACCTACACTAAAAAAGAACATTCTCAAATAAGCAACATGACTTTACACCTCAAGGAACTAGAAAAAGAGGAAGAAGGAAGAAACTAAGCCTAAAATTATCAGAAGGAAGGAATTAATAAAGATAAGAGAAGTAAATCAAATAAGAAACAGACAACAATAAAAAATCCATAAACAAGAGTTGATTTTTTGAAAACATCATCAAAATCAACAAACTCAGCTAGGCTAGTAAGAAAAATTGGAGAAGATTCAAATAAATAAAATTAGAAATAAAAGAGAAGATATTACAATGGATGCCTCAGAAATGAAAAGTATCATTAGGAACTATTGTGAACAATTATATGCTAACAAACTGGATAATCTAAAGGAAATAGATAAATTTCTACAAATATGCAACTTATTGAAGCTGAATCAAGAAGAAATATTCTAAGTAGAAAAAGTGCACAAGGAAGACATTTCAGTCAGTAATCAAAAGGGTCTCAAAAAAGAAAAGCTCAGGATCAGATGACTTCACTGGTGAATTCCAGTAAACAATCAAAGAAGAATTGATAATAATCCTTCCTTAACCCTTCCAAAATAAAAGTAAAATAGGAGGAATCACTTCCAGACTCATCTTATGAGGCGAGGACCATCCTGATCAAAACCACACAAAGATACAACAAGAAAGGGAAACTAAAAGCCAATATTCCTGATAAATGCAGATGCAAAAATCCTCAATAAAATACTAGCAAACAGCATTCAGCAGAACATTAAAAGGATCATACACCATGACCAAGTGGGATTTATCCTTGGGATGCAAAGATGGCTCAACATAAGGAAATCAATCAATATGATGCATCACACTAACAGAATGAAGGCCAAAAACAATATGATCATCTCAATAAATTCAGGAAAAGCATTTGACAAAGTTCATCATTCTTTCATGATAAAAACTCTCAACAAAAGAGGTATAGAAGGAAATTATTTCAACACAATACAGGCCATATACGAAAAGCCCACAGCTAACATAATAATCAATGGGCAAAAACTGAAAGTTTTTCTTTAAGTTCTTGTATAAGATATGGATGTCCATTCTCACTACATGTATTCAACACAGTACTGGAAGTCCTAGCCAGAACAATTAGACAATTAGACAATAATAAAAAAGAAAGAAAGAAAAGACCTCTTCAAGGAGAACTATAAACCACTGCTCAGTGAAATAAAAGAGGACAAAAACAAATGGAAGAACATTCCATGCTCATGGACAGGAAGAATCAATATCGTGATAATAGCCATACTGCCCAAGGTAATCTATAGATTCAATGCCATCCCCATTAAGCTACCAATGACTTTCTTCACAGAATTGGAAAAAAACTGCTTTAAAGTTCATATGGAACCAAAAAAGACCCTGCATTGCCAAGACAATCCTAAGTCAAAAGAACAAAGCTGGAGGCATCATGCTACCTGACTTCATACTGTACTACAAGGCTACAGTAACCAAAACAGCATGGTACTGGTACCAAAACAGAGATATAGACCAATGGAACAGAACAGAGCCCTCAGAAATAATACCACACATCTACAGCCACCTGATCTTTGACAAACCTGAGAAAAACAAGAAAAGGGGAAAGGATTCCCTATTTAATAAATGGTGCTGGGAAAATTGGCTAGCCATAAGTAGAAAGCTGAAACTGGATCCTTTCCTTACTCCTTATACGAAAATTAATTCAAGATGGATTAGAGACTTAAATGTTAGACCTAAAACCATAAAAACCCTAGAAGAAAACCTAGGTAATACCATTCAGGACATAGGCATGGGCAAGGACTTCAGGTCTAAAACACCAAAAGCAATGGCAACAAAAGCCATAATTGACATGTGGGATCTAATTAAACTAAAGAGCTTCTGCACAGCAAAAGAAACTACCATCAGAGTGAACAGGCAACCTACAGAATGGGAGAAAATTTTTGCAGTCTACTCATCTGACAAAGGGCTAATATCCAGAACCTACAAAGAACTCAAACAAATTTATGAGAAAAAAACAAACAACCCCAGCAAAAAGTGGGCAAAGGATATGAATAGACATTTCTCAAAAGAAGAAATGTATACAGCCAACAGACACATGAAAAAATGCTCGTCATCACTGGCCATCAGAGAAATGCAAATCAAAACCACAATGAGATACCATCTCACACCAGTTAGAATGGCAATCACTAAAAAGTCAGGAAACAACAGGTGCTGGAGAGGATGTGGAGAAATAGGAACACTTTTGCACTCTTGGTGGGATTGTAAACTGGTTCAACCATTGTGGAAAACAGTATGGCAATTCCTCAAGGATCTAGAACTAG